GGGGTCCCGGGCCGGGGGTGGGGGAAGCCAGGCTGGCCCCGAGCGGCGCCGGCCCGCGCCGAGCACCGGGCGCTGCTTGCGGCCCTTGGCCACTTTCCCTTCCCCGGGGCGACCTGAGTAGTTGGAGCCAGATCCCGTGTCCGGGGCGCAGCTGAAGGCTGGCCCGGCTCGAGGCGGCTGCCCGGGACGCACAATAACCTTCTTCCAAATGAGCAGCACAATCCAGCTCCATGTATATTTCATAGGGGAGACAAATCTACTCATTAACATTCCCCGCACACTTGGAGTTTGGGGGCAATATTTAGTGCATGTCAGGCAGGGTCGTGTGACTGTACTACACGGGCTTCAAGAGAGCAGGCTTGAATTCCGGCAGCTCAGTCTTTTTCCGACTTGTCAAAACCTCGTTTCATGACAGAGAATCGTATGAGAAGATTAAACCCTATAATTCCAGGCAGGAAGATTCTTTATCTAGCTCTCTATTTGCAAAAAGTATGATCCCGGAGATTGGAATGCAAAGAAGAGTCCCCCAAGGCCTGAATTATTGTCATCAGGACAGAGGAGAGAGGGACAGGGGTGGTAAAAGGGACATTGATAATGGGCTACAGCAAGTATTTAGAGCAAGCCCCTACATTTAAAATTCAAATACACATCTTGAGTGTCTTGGAAAAGTGGCTCTGCTGTGCAAATAGTGCTTGGAAGGTCCTGGGTTTTTGGAGAGTATGTGTGTGAATTGGCATATAGGGTTTCTGCACCTGAACAAATAGGGGGGGGAAAGAAGCTGGGGAAAAAAATGGAAGTGTCCTCTCTTCCAAGAGTGTCTGCATTTATTACATGAATCAGAATGACAATGCTGATCCTTTATTGGATTTTAATTAGAGAACCCAAACAAGCACTGCTCAAAGAAGCAGATTTTCACACCTCTGCCAATTCACTGGCATGTTTGTAGAGCTGCTACACTACTAGATCTATTCATCAAGCCGCTGAATATGCAAACAAAGCTCAAGCAAGAGCTTTACTAGGGGCTTGTACGAAGGTGTAGTTTGCTAGTAAAGGACTCTACATAAAGCACATAGCTTGTTTGTTGCCATGTTCTCCCTGAAGAGGCCTTGGAGATCTTGCTGCTTTATTTCTGCAGCAGAAGCGATAAAGTTGTTAGCAAATCAATAACATTCTGATTTTCCTTCCTCTCCTTCCTGAGAAAGTCATTAGGAGATGCTCCACCTATTTATTTAAATCTTAATAGCTTAAGCACCAGCCACAGGGGCAAAAATCAAATCAAATCTCTACCTGTGGCCTTGCTACTTTTAGAAGAAAAATTGCTTAGACTATATGTTGGTACACACAGTAATTGAGGGAAACCCAAGTGAAGTCAAGGGTAGAGCAGGAATCGAAATACTTGCATCACAAGTAGTATCACAAGTACTTGCTACCAATATGCAGTATATTGTATCTCCCAGTGTACAGCAGTGCACAGCTGAGTGTTCAGGAACACCAGGAATCCCTAGGGGAAGGTCCATAACCTTTCTCATGCAGAAGGCCAAAATTGCCCAGGGCATGTTATTGAAATCTTTTTTGAGAGAGACTTAAAATCTGGTTTGTTTGTTTTTTTTAAATGGTTTGAATGTCTTTTGGAGGATTAAGCAGGTAGTGGCTGCAAAATCAACCAAGACTCCCACCATGGAGGATTATGGCAAAACAGTGACAAACTCCAATGACACTGTGCATGAAAGGAAAGGCTGTTTTGAGGCTGGGCAGGGGCTGAGGGAGCATACTCTCCTGGCTTGAGATGCAGACAGATTTCTGATCTAGTGGGGCACAAATACTCCTGCTCCTAATAAGGTGTGGAGAACTCTTAAATAGTGGCCTGGGATGCACCTGCTTTGAGCTGTGGGGAGCTGAAGAGCAGTGTGATCCGAGGTGTGGGGTGCAGGAAACCTGGGATGTCCCCAGAGCCTACTCTAGGAAGGTGGATGATAGATGTCTAAGAGAGTGAGCGAAAGTATGGGCCAGTGTTGTAGACACTGGATTCAGGCATGGAGGCTCTGCCAAGGGCTTCGTTGTAACAGTCAGTAGGTCACTTCATTTCTCTGTGCTTTGTTTCCCTTCCACTCCTTGGTTCTGTCTACACTAGCAAAGTGGGCTGCTTTCACTAAGGATTTGGCTACACAGAGAATTTGACCAAAATAACTCCTACGGAGTAAACTGTTCTACAATTGGTATTCCAGAAAATCGCCATGTCAGAAAATTCCAGCGTACAAGTGACTTTGTTCAAGGAAAATTATTCTGCTTTCAAAGTGTCTAAATTATTTTGGAATAATATTATTGTGGAATAAATCTGATTAAGTAAGATGTGGCCTGCAAAAGCTGGTGCCTTTCTGAATGAGTTAGTCTATAAGGTGCCACTTCTCTCTATTCTGGAGTCAAGTAATTTCTATTGAAACATACAACCTCCACTTGGGAAGCCGTTTCAGAATAGATTATTATAGGTCTATAAATAATAAAATAATTCGAGTGGGTGCATCGACACTTGAAATTAGTGTGAAGCAACAAACTCTGGCACGTATCATGCCAGAGTTTATTCCTCCCGGGTGCTGCATTTGCGCATGCACCTGGGACCACAGCATGTGCAGCCGGTCAGAGTGGCCCAGGCTGGCAGGGGACTTGACGGAGTCAACCTGCCAGCCCAGGGCTGCTCTGGCCCAGCTCAATGTGGGGCAGGCTAAGGCATGAGGGTGCACTAGTGTGGGAGCTAATTAGTCAGCTCCACAGTAAATGTTTCATGTAGATGCACCCAGCGAGCTTTTTTTGAAGTGGCGATTGTGGTTAGTTCCCTCATGCAGGCAAACCCTACCTCGGTTTCGAAAACTGATCTAGTTAAATCCTTGCTCCTCCACATAGGTACGCTTAAATGGGTTCAACCCTAGCTTGTATGGAGTTAGCTTAAGCTTTCAGTGAAGTAAAGCTATATAAAGGGTTTGCACTACTTACGGCAGATCAGGATTTTTTGATAATCAATGTAGCAAGAGAGGAGCACTTTTCTAGACAAGGCTTTCTTATATGTGGCTTGTCTGCTTAGACTGCAAACTCTTTGAACCAGGATCGATTGTATGATGAGAGTGTACAATGCCTAGCACAATGGCACTGTAGCCTGTAGGTACTACCACCAAGCTTGGAAGAGGATGAGGAGACAGGGTGGGTACACTGCATAGGCTGCGTAGCTCCATAATCCGGGCTGGGAGGGTCATGCACAAAGGCCAGGGCTCTGAGGGTGTGCACAGGAACCCATGGCTGGATGCCTTCAGGACAGAAGCCACAAGGTCTGAGGGTGAGGGTGGAACAAAGACAGCCTCTCTCTGCAAAAAGGCTGAAGGTTGATGAGGGCTGCTAGACACAGAGAGCCCCCAAGCTGGGGTGCGTGGGTCTCTGCTGTGTGCTGGGATTTGGAGAGCCCCTCACTGTGACGGAGGGCGGGGGCTGTTTGGCGATGCAAAGACACCTCAGGTGTCTGTGTGTGTGTGTGTGTGTGTGTGTGTGTGTGTGTGTGTGCATGTGTGTGTGTGAAGAAGTGCACACCCCCTGGCTACTGTTCGTGTGTGTTAGGGAGTGTGTGTGTGTGTATGTGTGAGAGAGTAAAGACCCTCTGGCTGCTGCGTGTGTGTTTCAGGGAGTGTGTGTGTGAGGGAGCATGTGTGTACGGTGAGGGAGGCTGGTGTGTGTGTAAGTGTGTATATCTAAGTGTGTGTGTGTGTGTGTTTGTGTGTGTGAAAGGAAGGGAGGGAGGGAGTGTGTGTGTGTGTGTGTGTGTGTGTGTGGGAATGCAGAGATCGAGCTGTGTGAGGTTGTGTAGGTGTGTGTGTGAGGGAGGGAGGGAAGAGCCCTGGTTGCTGTGTGTGTGTGATTGTGCGGGAGGGAGGGAGGAAAGGAGCATGAGTGTGTGCGCGTGTGTGAGTGCTGCGGTGTGCCCAGAACCCCCCAGTCCCTGGCTGTGTCCCGTGGCTGTGGGGAGGGCAGCTCGGCCTTGTGTTTAACGCTGCCTGGCCTGGCTCTAACGCTGCTCCTCTCTCTCTCTTTCTTCCTTCCCCCTCTGACCCCCACGCAGAGAACTCAGTGGCTGCCAAGTCGGGCGGCTGCTTCCCGGGCTCAGCCACCGTGAGGCTGGAGCAAGGCGGCACAAAGCTGGTGCAGGAGCTGAGCCCCGGTGACCGCGTGCTGGCTGCAGACGCACAGGGCCGCCTGCTCTACAGCGATTTCTTGGCCTTCCTGGACCACGAGCAGGGCGCCCGCAAGCTCTTCTACGTGGTGGAGACACGGCAGCCGCGAGCCCGCCTGCTGCTTACCGCCGCCCACCTGCTTTTTGTGGCGCCGCCACCTCACAACCGCTCCGAGCCTGGGCCAGGGCCGGGGCAGGGGCCAGGGCCGGGGCCCCGCAGCCAGGCACTGTTTGCCAGCCGTGTGCGGCCAGGCCAGCGGGTCTATGTGTTGGGCGAGGGTGGGCAGCGCCTGGTGCCAGCGGCGGTGCACAGTGTGTCACTGCAGGAGGAGGCATCGGGTGCCTACGCACCACTGACAGCGCAGGGCACCATCCTAGTGGACCGTGTGCTGGCCTCATGCTATGCTGTCATCGAGGAGCATGGCTGGGCACACTGGGCCTTCGCACCGCTGCGCCTGGCCCACGCCCTCCTGGCTGCCCTCTGCCCCAGCTGTGGTCTGCCCGATGAGGCGGCGGTGCCCCCTCCTGGCATCCACTGGTACTCGCGCCTCCTCTACCGCCTGGGCAGCTGGGTACTGGATAGCGACGCACTGCACCCACTAGGCATGGCCGGGCCAGCTAGCTGAGAGCCACGCCGGCCACGCCAGGAGACGCGGCTGCTTACGTGCACGAGCCAGCGCGGATCCAGACTGATTCCGAAGTCACGTCCCCTCCTACTCCTCCCCCTGCAGTAGGACAGCCCAAAGTAGACTTGAATGGAGAGAGCCGAGCCCCCAGGGACTTCTGTCCCACCTAGTTTATAAATATATATATTTTTATTTGAGGGGGGAGGATTATTTTTTGGGGGGGAGGGGTTGTTTTGTTTTCTCCTCTCCTGGATATTTATTTGGTCGGTATTTTGCCTCAATGGCCTGAATGGGACCTTCAGGAGCCTTAACGCCTTTCTCTGATAATTTATTATCATGTGAACTGTACTCACAGGGATCACAAAAGAAAAGACACAGATTATTTTGGGAGGCTGAGCAAAACCACGCAGAGTCTATTTTTCTACCTGTCACGCGAGTCCTGACTTTCCCAACAAGCAAAAATACTCCACCCTTCCCCATCCCGCCGTTGCAGCAGCTCCTTGGTTTCAGCCAGTCTTAACAACCAACCAACTCACCAACCCACGCACCCACCGACTGACCGACAAAAAAAAAAAAAAAAAAA